TGTGTTGTTCCTGTAAGAGATGAGTGCTGAGAGGCTGTTCTGTAGTGTAAACAATTGCCTATCCATAGTTTCGTTTGGAAAAGAAGGGTTGAATGAGAGAAGCTTAGCAGCTTCATCAGAGTTCCTCCATTACCAGGGTGATGATAAAATAACTACGATTTTCCTACAGCAGCTTCATTTCCAAATATATTCCCCTGTTATTTCTGCTCACAGGAGCAAGTGCAGAAAAATTTTTCCTCCTCAGAGGCCTTAAAGACAAACATTTGGAACAAAACACAATTAAGGAAAACCTAGCAGATGTAATTACATGGACTAGAACTAATGCTGTTTCTTGAAAGGCTGCTGACAATATTCTGGGAAAAACTTTCTATTGAAAGCATACTATTGAAAAAAACCCAAATCTGCTTGTATATTGTGCTTTTTCTTCCCTTAGGAAATAAGGGAAGAAAGGGAGAAAATTTCTCCCTTTCCTTATTGCTAAAGGGTAGTTTGGAAAACCTGATCTTTGATTCCTTTTGTAGGCTAATTTATGTTCTCTGTGGCATCAGCTTCATCCAGCAGAGAGTTCTCATTAAAATTAGTGAGAATTCAGTGTGTGGTTGGATGGAAGAGCGCACAGAACTAGCATTTGTGTTCACCAGGCAGGGAATGAGCAGTTCCAATTAGTGTTTAAATTAAAATTCTGTTGTATATAAGCATGTATGTCATTAGCAAACGGAGAAAAACACTGGAAAAGGATAATGTATAGGTCAAATCAACTGCAAAATAAGTTTTTTGTGCTTAACCTTTAACCATCAGCAATTCTTTCAAGTCACTTCCAGGCTTGATTCAGCATCCCTGGGAATCCGTGGAGAGACAATTTAGTGACTTAAATCCTGCAGAGCTGGGCCTGCCATGCCACTGCAGAAATATCTCATGGCCAAGACACAGAGGTCTGATGTCTTCAGTTCTGTTCTCCCTTTAAGATGAAGGAATAACCAGAGTGAAACCAAAGGAAAAACCCCCAAAAAAGTTTGAAGATGTTTCAGGGATTCTACTTCTTTCCAAAGGTTCATTTATTAGAGATTTCTGTCCAAAAAAAAGCTCTACTGGAAATACTGGTGTTCTTCTGACCTAGCACTTCATTGCCAATGCAATATTTATAATTAATTTATTGAGTACATACATCTGTTTATTTTGTTACTGTTATTTATGCTCAAAATTCTATTTATATACTTCTGAAAGTGCGGGTTTTTTTAGTTGTAACAAATCTCGTCAAGTTTTGTAATCATGAAATTTTAGCAGACAATAGCTTTTTAAATTTCTGTGCATTATCAGTAGTTGTAATGTGTATATTTGCAATTAAAAAAAAAAAAAGAAAATCATCTTCAACACAGAAATCTTGCTGACTCTTTTGTCATCCCCTTAGTCTAGAGACTGCAAAGAGCTTCAGCAGACTGTGGCATCTGTCTTTGCAGCAACCACGTGAAGTCAGAATCCCTTGGGAAGGTGAATAGACAAGGGCATGGAGAGACAAAGGGGTTTTCCCAAAGTTAGGCAGTGCTGCCAAGGCCACCACTAAACCATGTCCCTAATTGCCACATCCACGGGTCTTTTAAATTCCTCCAGGGACGGGCAATTTCAGCCACTTCCATGAGCAGCCTGTGTCAGTGCTTGTCAAAAAAATCCCGCGGATGGAAGGCTGCTCCCTTTCAAAAGTGGGAACAACACTCACCAGTGCAGCCAGGGAGAAAACTGGTTATTTTTGCCTGAAAAAGGTGTCCGTTTCTGGCAGGAAAAGAGACTGAATGCTTGTGTTTGGAGATGTCTGTGAGTCACAGGAACTGCAGGTTTCTTGGCTTGCGAACATCTCCCATGGTGTTTCCCCTTTTTGCTGAGCCACAGCCACACATCCGGATGGTTCCCACTCCTCACATATCAGGAGACTTACCCCTGATTTGCAGTTGTTTTATAAAGTTTGGTCAACAGAAAATTCCACTTTTACTATTCTGCTAAAAAAAAAATTGCACAGATTTGAATGGGAAATAAAGGAATTCAGAGGGTATACTGTATAATTTCACCAGTGAGAGATTCTTAAGTAGATACAACCTTGTGAATGTTGCTCAAGGGTGCAAAGACAAACAACCTTAAATTTTCAAGCAGCATCTTGAGCTCTCTGGTGCCTGTTTGCTGACACCTTTGGATTAACATCTTCCACCAGCAGCACAGTGTTTCTTACTACAACAGCATAGTTGGTTCAATATTTATTCAGACAGAGGGAAGAAGGCCAAGAGCTGAATTACCCACACCACTTCCTGGAGCACTTCGGCTTTCCTTGGAGTTTTCCCATCCAAGTTCTGACCAAACCTGGCTGCTTTGCTTATAAAATCTGACAAAATCACAGCTTGAGGTGAAAGGATTGCTGGAAAATGCTTTCCCTACCATCTGACACCTGACTGGGGCAGGAACTCGATGTGCAAAACCTCCAAACGCCACTGCCTTTGGATCTGTGGGAATGTAAACACCACCACCACCGTTCCAATATAGGTCCTGGTCGATGATAGTTTCTCAAAGACAGTAGGACAATTGCGGTGCTTTCATTTGCAATGGTACATTTTACAGCCCCCAGAAGGGTTTTTTAAAGGTCGGGTGTCAAATGTCTCCTTGTGAAGTCTCAGTTGGAAGCTATGATGTGCAAATACGAGTCGTTAGAGCAGTGGGAAGGCTGTAGGGAAGGAGATACTTAAGCATCTTCATTTCCACTTGGAGGAGGTGTAAAAACCTATAAATCCTTTATTCAAGAGTCACAGCGTCCACTTTACCTCTGCTCAAAGTGCTGAAACCCTGTTGGTGGAAAATTCGGGGCCACTCTTTCTACTTTGCCAGTGTGCTGATTGGAGTGCAACATGATAAATTAAATAAGTGTACTCTCTTTCCTCAAAGATATACATAAGCCAACCCTCCTTGGGCAGTGGTGAAAGCAGAAACACATTTCACTTGAAAGTGAACAGAAGTGCAAAAAGGGCATCATTAGGATCCTGATTTCGGGGTGAATGTGAGGCAGTTTTGGGACACCGCAAGTTTATCAGGAGCTGTGTTGGATGAGACTGATCACTTAAGGCATGTAAGGATGCCCCCAAATGAGGCTGGTGTCTTGCAGCCTTCTTGCCAGGACTTTCTTATATTTTCAGTGTTTTTCATCAATCTTACAATGTACTGAGATCAAAGAACTGGTTTTTTTTTCATTAATTTCTGAAGCAACATTTAAATTGTTAGCTTAGAGGAAACCCCTGAGGACACCTTGTATTTCCACTGCCATCAACGACCAGTATGTGAATGTCTGGTTGTAGAGCAGGTAGGTGTTCACACCTGGCAAACCTTCAGTGATTTCACGTGAGATCCAGTCACATCCACACTTTCATGCCAAAAACAAGCTGGACATCTGCTCTTTATAAATCAGCATTGCCTGCTGTGATGAAGAACTTTTAATGAACTGTGATTTCTGCACCTGCTTAACTAAACCTTTAGTAGCATGACTTTATTTTCATTCTAATGCAGTTTTGGGGGGAGGGGGTTGTGCTATATTGATCTCTGGATTTTGAAGTTGACTTTTCAAGTCCTCTGCCATCCTCTGTCTGATTTGGAAGAGAACAGACCCCAGACTAGAAGAATACTGTGGTGCGCCCATAGCCACATTTTCATTAAGTATTTAGAAAACCACCACGTAAATCAGCACTAAAATATATACTTATAAATAGCTGTAAGTGTTTCCTTTGGCCGGTGTTGATCTGTAATAATAAGTAAGAGATGTAACAGAGCAGCCTAGAATGACACACTGCAGTTTGGGTTGGGTATTTACATTAAAAAAATTTACATTTTAGAATCATAGAATGGTTTGGGTTGGAAGGGAACTGAAAGATCATCTCATTCCAACTCTCCTGCCATGGGCAGGGACACCTTCCAGTAGACCAAGTTGCTCCAAGCCCTGTCCAACCTGAACACTTCCAGGGATGAGGCAGCCAGAGCTCCTCTGGGCAACAGCTTAATGACAGTAGAAGGTTATCAAATGAAGTTTCTAAGCCAGGTTTGGGTCACCTGTGATCACTACAGCTGGGCAGTGTTACTGCAAGGTGATGTCAAAGCTTTCAAGTGAAGTTGAGGGCTGTGGCACTTCTTCACTGGGCAACCTGTGCCAGCGCCTCCCCGCCCTCACAGGCAGGAATTTCAGGCACCAAAAATAGGCAAAAATCAGAGATGTCACCATGCTGTGAGAGAGATGTGCATGGGGTGGTCAACTGGGAGATCACTTCTGAAGTGTGTGTCCTCAAGTAGTACATCTGCCTTAGCCATCGTGTTTTTGTCTACTGTGATCATTATCCGTGTGCTTTGGTTTGCAAATGCCTATTACTTCCACATCTTCTCCCCTACCATCATTTTTGACAACTGGACTCCTCTTGCTGTGGTGTCCCGATATCCTGGGATATGCACTTCCCACGTTTGCGGTGATTAAACGCTACTTCTTCCCTGCCAATGACAAAGTGACTTTGAGTAACGAGAGAATGCTAGCTATTAAACAGCTAAATGAAAATCGGGCATATAAACTGAACGACTGGCACAAAATACATAAGCTAATATCTGACTGTAGTTTTTGGGGATAGTCCTGTGGGGGGGGCAAGGAGTCGGACTCGACGATCCTTGGCGGGTCCCTTCCAAGCTCAGCGATTGTAATAAATTCTTCTCGGTATTAAAACTCCTTGGTGGGGAAGAGGGGGGGGGTTGGGAAAAAGACCCCAAAATCGACTGTTTTCGCTGTCCCTGCCCCTTTATTCCCGCGCCGTTCCCGGGGTGGGGGGGGACAACCCTGAGGGCTCTCCCTGAGGGCTCCGCCCGGCACCGGCGGCGCGCGGGCGCCCCCTGGCGGGCCCGGGGAGGGGGGGCGTGGCCAGCCCGCCCCCGTGAGGGAGGGGCGTGGTCTCCGCCCCTCGGGCCACGCCCCCGCCCCGCGCGCGGGCGATCCCAAGGCGTTTTCCAGGCCCTGCCGCGCGCCGTCGTTCCCGGCGTGCCCTGCGCCGACATGGCCGACATGTTCGACGGGATCGTGATGGCCGAGCAGCGGTGAGGGCTTCCTCGGGCACGGCGGGGAGCTTCCCGCGGAGGGGCTAGGTTGGGTGAGAGGGGGAGATTGTTTATCCAGGGGGGCGAGGGGGCACTGGATCCCAGCTGGATGCCAGCGGGCTCCCCAGGGGCAGTGGGCACAGCGCCAAGGCTGGCAGGGAGCTCAGGGAGCGTTTGGATGATACTCTCGGGGCACTGGGTGGGATTTTTGGGGTGTCCCGTGCAGGGCCGAGGCTTGGGCTCGGTGATCCTTGTGGGTCCCTTTCCAGCCCGGCGTGTTCCGTGATTCCGGCGTCTGGGCGCTTCCAGTGGGAACACTCACCCGGGGAGATGAGGGGGGGGGGTGTGATCCTGGTGGGAGCACAGAGCTGGAGCCTTGTTCTTGGCGGGCTGGGATGGGCTTGGCTGGGAACATTGGAGGACGAATGATTGTGGCTTCACCTGGACAGGGTGGAGCGATGGTGGCCCAGCATTTGGGTGACAACAGGCGATCCAGTGCCACTGGATGGAAAGCTGGGAAAGGGCCTGGAGCTGAACACAGTGTGGCAGCAGGGCCAGGGCAGTGACCGCCCCCCTGACCGGGCACTGCTGAGGCCCCTCCTTGAACCCTGGGGTCAGTTTTGGGCCCCTCGAGACAAGAAAGACATTGAGGGGGCTGGAGGGTGTCCGTGTGTGAGCTCGATACGAGAGCGGGAGATTAAAGGAACCCCACTTCTGCCTTCCCAGGTTCCACGGTGAGGGCTATCAGGAGGGATATGCCGAAGGCAGCCACATTGGGATTGCTGAGGGAAGGAGGTACGGATCGCTGCACGGTGCCAAGATCGGGTCGGAGGTAAATGGGAAAATCTTCAGGATTGCAGTGCCTTTGTCATTAGAGAATTACTGTAACACAGGAACTGCTGGGCAAGGCCTGAAACCATCAGTCTGAGGTGACACTGCCTTGTAGGTGTCCAAGAGGGCCCATAAAACTAGTTTAAAGGTGATACTTTGATTTGAAGAGTTGAGTAGGTGTGTTTACGTTTTCTAAGCTTGTTTGCTGTTTGGAACTTCGCTGGGGCTTTTTTTCCTGAAAGGATAAGAAGAAACAAATAAATTCAAACAAGCTTGCTCAGGAAAACATTATGAACTGTGCATTTATTTTTGTTTATCAAAACTGTGGCTAAAGGCCCACCCATACCACCTCCTGTGGCTCAACACAGGCAAAAACGTGGAATCTTGAGACACTTTGGATGGGGAATCATGAAGGGATGATTCTGTGATTCCTGAATCAGTAACCATTCCTAGAAATTCCAGGGCTGGAGAGTGATGCTGAGGCACCTCAGCTTGCCCCATATATCCAACTCCAGTTTGTCACAGCACAGGGTGTGTTCAGTGCTATGAAATTGTAGTTCCAGCTTTTTTTGGACCTGAGAATTTTTGCAGCTCTGCTGGGAAGCTGTAGTGCACTTTTCATGGCAGGCCCTGTTCCGAGCACAGCACCACCAATCTAAATCTGTTGGGTCTGTTGAAGAGCTCTGGGTAATTTGGCCATTTGCCCTTTTGGTGTTTTCAGGTGTCAGGAAGTCAACTGCCTGCAGAAGGGACAGCGGCAATGGCATTAATCTGTTTTGTAATGAAAAAACTAAACTCCAAGCAGAAAGAATGGCCATCACAAAATTTTGGGTTGGATTTGGGCGTGGTACAGAGTGGTGCAGTGATTAGATAATTTTCCCATTTACACTGCAATGATGTGGTTCCATCATTGCATGAAGAGATGTTAAACAGGAGTCTGCAAAGCTTGATAGTTTTATACAAAATGGTCCCAGACAGGCCATAATAGAGAAGTGCTCTAATCTGCTTATATTGGGAAAGCTCCAGAGGGCAGTAGGATTATACAGTTAAATGAGAGGGTGACTTGGGTAACCTTAGACCTGTCAGCCTGTTTTGTGTCTTTTGTGTCTTTGGTGATTACTGATCTGATGCTGGCCTTGCTTGATAGTGAATTCAAGTAAAACATTATAATTAAAGTGTGTCTGTCCTTGGACTTAATCTGTCCCAGTCAGCCGACTTTGTAGTTTCAGATGTCTGTGTTGTTTTTGTGGGAAGGCTGAGTCACTTTTGAAAGGCACTTCAGCTGACTTGTCCAGCTGGTGCATTGAAGGACTTCCCTATATTCCTGGTCCATTTGGTGTCCAGAGTTGTACTGAAGAGTTCTGGCAGCAGGGCTCAGTCAGCTCCTCCTGGTTCTTTCTGATTCCTCCTCAGATGGGCTGATAAACTTATTTAGGTATTAAATCAAAAACCAAGTGTGGTTTCCTCCTTGACTTGGGGGGCTCCCTCAGTCCCTGGTACCTTTTCATAGGGCTGTGCATGGGCTGCTTTAACTGACAAGTGCTGCAAAAACAAGCATCAAAACCCCTCATGGCACTCTTTTAAATTCACAGATTGGCTGCTACCTTGGGTTTGCACTGACGTGGCGCTGCCTGCTCCAGAAATGCACAGATGAAAAGAGCAGGTAGGGTTAAAAAGGTCAAAAGTAATTTTTTTCCGTGATTTTCGTTCTTTCCTTCGTATCATTTTTTTTTCCCTGTCCAGTTTTGATTAATCTGACAGAATTGCCACCGTACTTTCAGCCATTTTGGTGTGTGTTCTGGTAAGCATTTTTTATTGCATTTCTGCATTTGTCCCAGTCACCTCATCAGTACTTCTGAAGATTCTTGGAATATTTCTCAATTTAGGGGCAGGTAAGTTAAAAAGGAGACCTTAACTCTGTCAGTTGTGCAGCAGCCTAATTTCTGATTGTGGCTTAAATGTGTATTAAACACACACTGTCAGTGAGCTAAATGGGAGCAGTTGAATTAAAGAAGGATGGAGGGCTGGGTTCTATGCTCTGAATTATTAATTCAGAAATCAGTATCATTTCATATTGGTGGATTGAAAAAAACTTCTGTAGTAGCGTGTTTGGCCTTTCTGTTTGGATTTGATTTATTTTTGTTTTATTTTTCTAGCAGAAAGATAAAGGCTCTGGAGTCATTAATAGGGATGATTCAGAAATTCCCGTACGAAGACCCCACTTATGATAAGCTACAGGAAGATCTGGAAAAAATCAGAGGAAAATTTAAACAGGTTTGTAGGATCAAGTTGCTATTTCAGCACATTGATTAATTTCTGAAAATATTTAGTTTCTAAACCCACTCCAAAACACGGTATTTGTGTGGAGCAATTTTTGTTCCCCTGCTGCAGTCGTAGCAAAACACTTGAAATGAAGTGAATTAAATGAAAATACTTGATAGCTGAAAATTTCCCAACCAGTAGCAAATGAAAAATAAGATAAAAAAAATATTCTTTAAAAGGCAGGTTGAAAATATTTTTTGACAAGAAATTACAAGTGGGACCAGAAGAAGATAAATTGGGAGTTTTGTTGAACGTTCTTCTTGGAAAATAAACACTTTGAAACACTTTTGTATATTCTCTTTTAGGTTTGTTCAATGCTAAATATTCAGTCTGATTTTAGAACTGGTACTGAAAGATCTTCACTAACGTTTTGAATACAACAGATGAAGATAAATGTGGGTGACCAAAGAAAAAGCATTAAAAGAACAGAACTGGAAAAGTGTTTATCTACTTTTTATTTAAAAAAAAAATCATCAAAACAGTGAAGAGGTGCTAAATATTAAAGGGTAAGGGGAAAAAAGTTGGACTTGCAATATGTAATTTAATATTTGTTATCTCCAAGTTTTATTTAGGGTCACTGAAACACGAGCGTGTAAACCTGTCAAATAGAAATATTTGCTTTAGTTCCTCAGAAGGAAAACACCTGCATTTGCAACGTTTCCTTATTTAAAGGATGTATTATGTTGCTTAAAAATCTGTGTATGCGGATTATTGAGTTTACACAATGTGTAGATGCTGTAGGTGAAGTAAAATTATAATCAATTCCCAGGAAACATCTTTGTGGGTAAAGGATAAAATGACAAACGAAGTCAGAAAGAGAAGGAGGAAGAATAAGATCCCTGTGATTGTAATTTAATGTATTTATTAGTACCTTTTGTCACAGAGTGGCTTTTTATTTTCCAGCCTTGAAAATGAACCCTTTAGTCTCGTTCCAGTAAATGGATGCTGTGAGCTAAATGTGTTCAAACCGTGTTAGTTGAAGAGAAATACAGCCAATTGTTGTACCTGAAAGATACTTTAAAGACCCTTTTTTGTTTTGTTTAATTGTTTTAAACATCTCTGATACACACAGGGGGTGACAGGGCCATCTAGTGGAGGAGGGAGTTGTGTAAAAAACAGATTAAAGAGTTCACAAATATATATATATATATGTGTATATATATATATATATATATGAAATTGTTGGAGAGTACAGAACACAGGCACCCATGGTACAGCTCTCCTAATTACGTGGTGAATTTCTTTGAAATTCAGTGGCATTAAGGTAGAGTTCATTTGTTGCTTGTTTCCTCATTTAAGACCTTGACAGGGCAGTTTAAAGTATAGTTGGCTTTTAATTTTTAAGCAGCCAAGCCACTGGCAACCAGAACAAGCACCAAACGGCAAGCACCTGAAAACAGAAGCAAAATAAAATAATCTCAATAAAGAAATGGGCACAAACCAAAAAGATAACATTACTAGAGAGGACAGAGCTAATTTGACTTTATAATCACTCAGAGAAATCTAGATTTGAAAAAGTTGTCTCTGCACCCACAAATGAGTTTATTTTTACAAAGTGAAGTATTATGTTTACTTCAAATTAACAAAAGGTGCCTCTTACTCATCATCTGTGATAAACTTTGCCTTTTTTAGACCAAGATCCAGGGGGATTCAAAGCACAATTTGTAGTTTTCAACAGAAGGTATTTTGAGTCCGTTTTACTCTGAATGATAGTACAAAGAGAAGTGAAACTAAATGTTAATGTTCTTAAATGCAGCCTTTTTTTGGAACCACTGTACTTGGTTTGCGAAAATACGTGTAAAAGCAAGGGAGAGGTTGTGAGGGGTCAAAGTGTCTGTGAAGCATTTGGTTCCTGGAAGTGTTTGGTACCTCAGTGACACGCAAAGTGCTGCTCCAGAGATGATATCAAACAAAATCATTCTTGCTCAGCTCAGGAGGAGAAGGATCTTCGGCCATCAAGTGGCCAGTGACTGTTATAGCAAAATCGTATTATTATAATAAATTACTATATAAATGTGTGTGCATATACACGTATTTAACGATAAATATTTTGTCAACCAGGTTTTCAGACTGGGATGTGTGTAGTTTAGGTTGTCTAATAGGTCCTTAATTCAGTTTTCATACATGTGGACATACTGATGGAGCCTCTTATTCCATGAGTCTGTATTTTTCTGAATGTCTTGTCTTACATCTTGTACGGGCCTGATGTGGTTTATTAAATGAGGTGCAGTTAAAGATGCTGTTGGATGTGTAGTTGTGTGCTTTCTTCTGTGCCTTTTTTAACTGTTTTTTTGGCAACAGAGTTGTGGGAATTTCTGTGGAGTTCAGGGTTGTCACAGTGAAACATTCCCAGCATACTGTACAGGTGTTTTTATACCTTATTTACAGCTAAGGAGTTAAAGCCCAAGAAGATGGATTTGTCTTAACCAGTGTGAGATGTCTAATGTGAATTGTTATAATTCTGCCTCCTGAGGATTTAAATAGTTCAGAATTTGCTTCTTGGCAGCATCCAGAGTGGCTGAGCCCCCGACCTTTTTGCATGTTGGTGTTTTTGCCCGTGTTTCTCAGATCAGTCACGTGGAAAATGAGGAACACTGCAGTCAGCAAACACCAGTGGAAGGTGTGTGCTCAACCCAACTGAAGTGTTACCAAGGTGGAGGGGGCGAAAAAAATCCATCAAAATTTCAAATCACTGTTGAATTTCACAGTTTGAGATACAAGTTTTCTTTCCAGACTTTCCCTGCTCTAACATCTTCCTAAAATCTGTTATCCAAGGAGCTGGATGTTTTGCAGGACTACTTGATGTATTGAGGACAGTTAAAAATAGAAAATTTCTGCCAAAAAAAGGTTGAAGTTAGTAAGACATTTTAAAAATACATTACTGTATTCACTCACCACCCCTAGCTATTGCTCAGTCGTTAGGGAGGAATGTTTGAAAACATTGAACTCGCAAATGTCTGACTTGCCTGGACTACGCTCGAGCTTGTTTGGCTCCTTCCTGATCATCTCTCAGCTGAACCTGTGCAATATGGAATTTTATTAATTACTGCTAGGCCACTGAAGTCGTTGCAATCCAGAAGACTTGTAATTTTCCTTTCTACAAGATGTGATGAGTACAAGAAGTAGTGAATTTTGAGGCCTCGGCGGAGAAAGGTGAACTCTGACCACCATTTGCTAAAGCTTCTGAGCACAGTTCCTGTTCTGTCTTCATTCTTCCTTTCCATTTCTTGTCTGTTGTAATCGATTCCAGCTTTGAATGACCATCTGTAATCACCAGAAATGGGTGAAATAAATCAGCAAAAACATCTGTGGATGCAACAGTTTGCTTCAAAATCAACCCCGTAGAGGTGGTTTGGGCTCATTTGAGTCCCGTTACGTTTTCCTGAAACAGGGTTGTGATAATTTACCCGTGGATGTGTGAGGAAAGTCTGGAGTGCACCGGTTGGTTATGTGACTCTTTGATCTGATTGCTGTTGAGGTATGAAATCTAAAAGCAATAGTGTGTTCTAGTAGGCACACAGAACCTGTTCAATCCCAGCTTGCTTTGTGGATAATCACCAAGTGAGAGAAGAAAAATAAAGACTGGTTTAAACTCTCTGGTTTTGCAGGGTTATTTTTGGTGAGTGAAGTACACGTTTTGGTCTGTGTCTTCAGGGTTTCTGGAAAGGTAGCACATTTTTATCCATCATTTTTTTTTAAATAGGCTATGTTGAGATGGAAATGAGGGGTTTTAATTTTCCAGTAGGTCAGGTTTACAAAGGTTTTGGTTTCTGAAGAGATGCAAGAGAGAGTTGAAACCTGCAATGTTTTTGAGAGTGCTTATTTACACTTTGGCTGGAAATACAAATTCCTCTATTGGAATAAAGGGAGGTCCATCTGTCAGAAGTCTACCTGCACCCTAATATTAGTGCTTTGGAGTAAGAGCTGATACCCTTTTAAGATACAGAAAGAGATCAAATAATCTGAATTGTTGAGGTTTTAAATCCATAGGTCATGTTTCGTTGACATATTTTCTGTATGCATTTACATCTCTTTTTGAATATAAAGTTTTAAAGCCTATCTCCACATAAAGGTATTATTAAAAAAAACTTTAAAAATGGAATCTTTCACTTATAATAATAATGCGACTACAGGCCTAGATCTGATACTAATTTATTTGCTCACAAGCTGTCAGAGCTGCACGTTGTGTAGATACAGCCTTCTATCTCAAGTTCTGATTTAATAATTGAGATTCTTTTCTAGTGTTGTTCTCAATATAAGAGTGTGGGTGCCTGTTCTCTGGGTGGCTTGTTTGAACGTTTGTGGGGTTTTTAATGATGTCCTGTAATTACAGGACAGTAATAATTAAAAAAAAAAAAAAACCACAACAAAAAACCCCAAAACAACAGCATTGCATCTTGGAAAGGGAATGTTGGTGGTACTAATTAACACAATTTTCTGGAGATAAAGGTGTGGGCAAGCATGGTGAGGATAAGGCTCCATGCCAGGGAGCAGCATGAGGCACGATGTGTTTTTGAGGAAGAGCTGGTGTTGGTGTGCTATGGATATAGTTTGAAATCTGCTGGGATATTACAATTACCTGAAGTCCTTCTGGATGAGAATCCTTATTTCTGTTTTCTCTTGATTTTCCTTGTTCAGGTCATTCCAGAGTTACGGAGCGATGTGTGTGTGATATAATATCTCATCCTGATTGAAGAGAAAGGCTTTGGTTTGAAACAAAAGGCTTAGTATTTTTTGGTAATGTTATAATTCTTTATATTCTTGGTGCTATAAATGTTAGTGCCTTTTGAATGCTGTCCTTTGCAACTTCTTCTGGCAGTGGGTTCTGGTCTAATTACAGCCTAAACCTCCAGCTTTCACGGTTTGGCAAGTAACCATGAAGATTCTCATTTTACAGTCTGCCAGAGCTGTTTTTTTAATGGATAAAGTTGTGACAGCACACATTACCACAGGAGTGTACATATCACCAGAGAAAATGGGGATTTGGGAGCTGTGAAATGAGTCCTGCAGCAGGTTTCCAGTTGCAGGTTTTAGGTGTCCAGGATTGAGGTATAAAGGCCAAGTAGAGCCATCCGCTGCTGCAGTGCTCCAGTGTGTCCCAGTGCTTGGAATTGCAGGACCAGCCTGGCCCCTAGTGATAATAAAAATAACAATAAAAGAAGTTTTATGCACTGTATTGAAAGCTTGCACAATTAGTTCATTTGTGGATATCTCTTTGGCACCACACTGCAGATATTCCTACCTTGGGAAGCTTTGTTACAGAATTTGCAGGGGTGACGTCTGAAATCGTGACCTACTGACTGAAAGAATTTAAGTGGTATTTATAATAAAATTACAGAATTTATCTTAGCAAAATGCCCAGCAGAAGGAAGGTTGATTATTCAGCCTCTGCATCCTGATCTTGGACAGAATCAACACTGGTATTTGTCACTGCCTTTCATTTTTTATCATCATTTAGCCCCTTTTTTTCGCTGCCCTATCTCAGGGTGCAATAATAATCACAGTTTTTCACCTTCAGCATCTTCAGGATTCTGGGCAGTAACACCACATGGGATCTTTCTTCATAGTAGGAACTGTGAGTCAGCAAGCCTTTAATGTTTTTAGTTGCAGCCATTGTTCCAGCCCCAAGCTTTACTGCCATTGTCCACTGTTTGTCCAGCTCACGTTTACTGGACTGTGGGAACGGATTAGGGTTTCATGCCTTTTTTTTTTTTTTTTTCTTCTTGCATAAACTCTTGATCAAAGACATTCCTTGGATGACAAAACACTGTATACTGTGTCACACAGTCCTGACCAGACTGCACGAACAGTAGTTTAAAAACACATGCCCACATTGTTCTCTAAACTGGCTTTTTTTTCTTCTTCTTTTTTTTTTTTTTTTGCAATGTATGTGCAGACATTGAATTTTTGAGACCCCATTTACCTCCTTTAAAAAAAACACATACAGAAGTTACTGTTGAGAAGCACTTGACGGTTTCTGAAATACAAGTGAAAAACAAATTACTCTTTGGGGCTGAGAATCTGCGTGACAGAATGTCACTTCTGAGCAGAGCTGGAGCTTCTCTCTGCAGTGTGTTTCCTTCCTGGGGAGACCTTGGTGGTGGTGCAGGTAGTCAAGTGCACTGTAAACCTAAAACCACATGGATTATGGCATCATTTTATGTGTCGTATCATAAGGTGGAGAATGATTTGAGCGCAGTTTGGGAACTCATAACCCTGCTTCACCACAGGTACACTGTCAGAACCACGTGTTGAATATCTTGACTTACTACAGTTGTATGTCTTGGTCTTAACTTTTAAGTTCTCTTTTGCAGTAAGAGCTGGACAAATATCAGAAAAATCATCATTCCTCAAACTAATGAGAATGAAACAAATGGTGTTGGAGAAAAAGGTGGAGAGACTTTTTCAAGGAGCTTTGACTTTGCCTGAAGTTCTTCAGCAGAAGTGTGGGAGAAAGAGATCCCTGAAGACACCTGAAGTAGGTTTACAGAGGGGTTTAAATCATAGAGGGACGTATTTAGGTGGTTGGAAAGTTGTTTGAGGATGAGAGAACACTTGTGTTTCCACAAACACGTGAGGCTTTGCATAGTTTGACTCTGCAGCACTGTTAAGCACCTCCGTGCAGAAATGAAGGCAGGTGAAACTCTTTCAGCATTGGAAAGGTATTCATAAGGGAGGAACCTTTCTGATCCTTTACAATCCAAGGATCTCCATGGAAAAAGAAACCTGAATAAGGTGTGGCTGATGGATGTGTTGTCTAAAAGGAATAAAAAGGTTGTAGTGAATGACTGAAACAGCTACAGAAATAGTGAGTGAAACCCACAAAATAATATTACACTTATAAGAAATAATATTTAATTATGAGTAAATAACTGATGGAAATCTTGGGAAGGTGTCATGAAAGAACATAGGCATACTTATTTAACAGCATACCTGTGCTGAAGATCAGGTCTTCATATTTAAAATAACCAGCAACCAAATGTAAAGAACTGTGGCCTGCGGGTGTTCAAGGAGGAAAAAAGCTGTTGGAAAATAATCCCCAGCATTCAAACAATCTGCAGTGATAAAATCTAATAAAAGGGAGAAATAAAACATCAAAAAGCCCAATTGTCCGTGGCAGACAGTTTGCCATGGGGGCAGGGACTTGGGGCACCAGGTCGCTGCTCGGGTGAGCTGCTGCTGGCTCAGCTGAGTTGTAATGCTCTGATGCTTCTTTAGTGGCCCTTGGGAAAGGGTTTGTCCCTCTCAGCCCAACTCCTTGGAGTCTGGTGCTGATATTCCCAGTAACATCCTAGTAACATCAACAGCAGACCCGGCATCTGTGGAATATGGCTTGTGGATGGATGAAATAAAGCCACTCGGCAACATATAATGTTGAATTTATTCACTTGGCAGGCTGGGAAGGGTGAGTGGGGAGCAATTTCCACCCTGGGAGGCCCATGCTCTGTGCGCAGCTCGAAGCTCCAGACCTTCCTTCGCCACGTGGACCCAGAAGGGGTCTCCTGCTCCGGGTGGTCGATGTGCCAGGTCCTGGAATGTCACAGGTTCCTTTGGTTGTTCATGGCATTAGGGATCTGTACCTGGAGCTCTCTCCAACCCCAAGGCGTTACCCTCTTAACCAGTTACTGCTTTATTTGGTCAGCACAAGCATTCCCAGGCCATTCCTTGCCTTTTCCCGGTTGCTGGTGGGGAGGAGGTTCCTGTAGCCTTCTGCTCACCCACCCCAAGGGTGTCACAAAGTGTGAATTCAGCAAGTGTTGCCTTCTGAAGTTCTCATTCTGCTGCTTTGTTTTCCACTTTATGCCACAGTTAGAGCTGAGCAGATGTAAAGGTCTCATTTGGCTGGGCAGCCTTTGGCTTTCCAGGTGGGCTTGACCCCTGACAGACGGGTTAGCAGGGAGTATTGTGCTGTGCCTGGCTGTTACCATGTAATTTGATTATTATGGGAGATAATTACCTACTGCAGTCTTCAAGAGAGAGGGAAGACTGCTATTCTGGTCTTGAGGTGGATCACTATGCGGGTGTTTATCCAAAAAACACAAATCGTCGTATTTCTTCAAGGGTGTTACCATAAATAAGAAAAAAATATGAGACTTTTTAATACATAGTTCACAGACAAGCAAAAAGCAGGATAGGTCTAAGCAGGGCTCTGCAGGTGTCAATAGGATCATCAAGAAACTTATTTCTGTTTTCATTCTTAAATGTTTATCCCATTAAAGGAACGAAAAGGTGACTTCTGCCCTGCTCCTAAATTTGCTCTGCTTGGCCCTAAAGAAGCCTGACAAGTCTCACATTATCAGTGCAATCCAGGTGACTAATTTGCAATCCCTTTCTCATAATTTGATTGAAATATTGTGTGGAACTCAGTCGAAAGCCAGATGGGAATGTGCATTTGCCATGCCACTGCAATTACTGTGATCAATTATATTTGTGGGATGGTAAAAATACCATTTTTGTCTGGAGATACATTCTTATAAAATGATGCTGATGGGAATTCATTAAAATGAATTCATTAAAGGAAATTAAGGAATTCATTAAAATTAATTTATAGCTTTGCTGCCTTTGTCCCATCCCACTGTAGCTTTTCAATGACATTACCAGGAATTTTTATCAAGAGTGTGTAACCCACATTTATGGGTCATTCCTGTGACTCTTTTAAAACAAGAGCTCCAACCCTCCAACCTTCACTTTCTCCTCCATCTTCTGGAGTTTTCTATCACTTAAAATGCCAGGTGTGCCTGAATGTAAGTGGATTACGAGTTCTTAACATCTAATAAATTTAATAAAGAGCATGTGAATTTAAATATTCATAAAAGGTCCAAGATTGTCAATTGGCCTGAATTCAGCAACGGAACTGGGGAGTTTTTTGGGAGGTCTGTTGGAAGTTTTTCTGTGTGCAGTCTCAATTTCTTGCAAAATAATACAGTATTTTTCCCTTTACTAAGCTACAGCATAGCCTAGCTGAACATGCATATTTTTTTACAGCCTATAGTAAATTGTTTTTCTTGCTACATTCTTGTCTTTCTGCCCTTTGCAATGTGAGTAATACTGGCATAGTTCACCCAACATTCAAATTTAGTAGTCTGCATTTAGAGATGATGTTCAGGAGATGGAAAACGTAAATAAAGGAGCTGACTCTGTGGGCTTAAACCTACTTAAGTCACACCACTTAGTCAGTTTAATAGGGTTTATAAAACAGATAGGAATGGCAAAACCTACTTAACACGTTCAACCAAACACAGGTTTACATTTCTCACTGGATCATTTTATCAGCAGCATATTTTTGTCAGGAATCAAGACTCCCTGAGTGTGTCTTCACTCAGTTTTCAAACATTTAAGCTCAGAGGGGTCAGCCATCAGCCATACCAAAGCAAGTCTTCTGGTGGTTTTTTTTTTAAGTGTGCTGGGGAAAATGAATCATTTTTGACCCAGTCCAGTTTAAGCTTTGGCTTAGCCTGAAGTCCCCGTGAGTTTAGTTCAGATCATCTTTGGGGAGCTGCTCATCTCAAATGGAACAAAACAGTACACAGATCACGCTTGTACTGATATGACTTTACCTACCTGATCTCTGATTTCACAGCAGGCCACAGGGTTCAGGTTTCTGTCTGAAATGACTGGGAAACCACCAGGCTCACACCATCTCAGGCTGGGATTCTTCTGATGCAGATGGTTTCCCATCTTGCCCTGAGAAGAGCTTATTTTGCACTAGACAATGATTAACATGTTAGATCTGAGTTCTGGAGTTTCGGTTTTCATTTCCTGTGCTGCACACACTGCACCCAATCAGTTGTAATGTGAAGTTTAGTCAGTGGGAAACTCAGGAGGCAGATGCTAAATTTCTAGTTTGTAACAGGAGAGACAAGCACTTGACCTTTTATGTAGATTTTTTTTTGAAGACAGAAGTAATTTCACGGGGTAAATAGTCAAATATGGAGGTTATAACCTTGATCGTCTCCACTAAAAATAGGCTGTTTCTGCTGTGTTCAGCTCTGGTAAGAATTGATAAAGTGCATCCCCAGTTTTTAGAGATATTTTGGATAGTGAATTGGGACACAGGTTATACTATTTTTTTGTTTAACTTTATAATAATACATGATTTCTTTTCCTCCTTGTCCTCCTTCTAGGTCTGGTTATTTTTCACGCATTTTTAGTAGGCTTTTTCAGGTTTAATCCCTTGTTATCTTAGCTATACAATAGTAAGATGCAAAAGCTATGCAGGAGAGGAAGGGGCAGAAAAGAAGGCAGGTTAACTTACTGCTTTTGAAACAAACTGTCTTCTAAGACACAAAACCTTACACTGTTAAAAAAAATACAAGTATTCTGTATCTGTACCACCCAGCACCTATTTTATTTTACCCTTTATTGACAAGAAACACCAAAGGATATTTTACTTTGAGTAAATAAAATAAAGAAATAAATAAATAAATATCCTTTGATGTTTAAAATAAAGTCTTCAGCCAAAAAAAAAAAAAAGAGGAAATATTTTGCTTCTTTAGAAAGACAGGTTGCTGTGAGAGAGTCACCTGCCCACTGTCCAAAACGCCTACAGTTTCCTAAAATAACAACAAAAGGTTTTCAGCACTGAAAGTATTAAAGCACATCGAGTCAAACCCAGAAAATGTCATGTGGTTTACTCACTGCAGTGGGTAGTTACAACCATTCAGCATTTTAAAGGCTATTAAAGAAGAAAGTTAAAAGAAGACAAGAGGCAGACGTTGGGTTTTACCAATTTTATTTCTAGACTTTAGTTTTGTTGTGTTTGTTGTATTTTTTTTTTTCTTTTTTTGCTGGAAACTTGTCTGTTACAGGTCTGTTGGTGAAAATGTGCATTTCAGACCAGTGATGCCAATAAGTACAATATAAAAATGTACAAAAAAAAATCTGAATCGCTTTGCTTACTACAGATTGTTATAATAATGTGACAAATAAAGCATCTCTGTTGGCACGTGAACCCACTTATCTGGATTTGGCCTTTTCAGTACATAGAATATTTTAAAAGAATTTTTGCAGCACACGCTGTGCCACTCAGTGTAACAACATAATATAACCCACAAGCACTAACTCAATAGTATCAGGTTTGGTTCAGGGACACAGAGATGCCAACGAACAGAAGTGTTTTATGAGGTAAGCAGTAAGAAATGTTCCTGAAATTTGGACAGAATGTATCCAGTCCTCCTGGGTCCTGCGACTGCCAGTAGCATTGCAAGGCTTTATTTATGCACTATGTAGGATCTTAACTGCATTTGCCTCAAAGTGAGTTCTAATTCTGTTTTGGTTTAGCAGCATACAGGCAACAGCTAGATTATTCTTCAGCATACAACTCTGTTAGCTGGCTTATTTATGAGATTTACAGGCTTTTTAAATTAGCATTATGCTATAATTAAAAAAAAAAACCAAAAACCAAAAACCAAAAAACCCAAAAATAACAAACAAAATAACCCTAGTATATCATAACAGATTAAACACACAAAATACTTAGAGTTCCAGAAGATAACCTATCATACCAAATGATGTGTCCCAGCCGAGGGGAAACCACATCAGGTGGCACACAAGAGTTATATTATAATGCACCTTTCATATATCAAATGTGGCTAATAACACAGCTTAAAACTACTATGATAATAAACCCCAGATCAGACAAGGAATCCAGCTTTATAAAATGCATAACAAAACAAAACCAAAAAAAAAAAAAGAAAAACCCTTGACATGACTTGATCTGAAATGTCTGCCGTTTCTTAAATTAATGCAACCTAGTTGCAAATCGCGAGACCCATTCGATGCATTTCCTTTTGCAGTAGAACTATGAGGCACTGTAAGAACATTAAAACCTGGTCTAGACACGGTTAAAAACTGAAGTATGAGGTATTGTGAAACAGGAACCTTTTTTTGTTTTTTTTTTTGGAATAGAGCAGTAATCACATTAAGTAAAAATTGATCACATAAAAAAAAAATTCTACAAAAAAATGATGTCAATAATATAATTTTCTATGAGAAAATTAAAACCTATAACATGGCAGTATATGACATTGTATAACAAAAAAAAAAAAACTGATCCACAAAATAGCAGCAAAACACAATGACAAAGATACAGAGAAGCAATGTTAATTTTTTTTTTCAAACCATGCTGGGAATTTATCCATAGCAGCTCAATAAAAACGGAGCATCCACTCCTTTTCTTTTCTCTTTTTCTTTTTTTTTTTTTCCATCTTTTAACTTTTTTTTCCTTTTTTACTTTTTTTTTCTGTTCCTTTTTTTTTTACTGTTTTGTTGGATTTTTTTATTTTTTTTACAATCAACACCTTAGCGGCAGTTTTCTCACATACGTTTCACCATCACATTCTCCTCGAGCATCAACTTCAACAGCTATGTCCACGTCCCTTCAGCTACTTTCTAAAATAATAATAAAAAGATACATAGCCAAGATGTGCAAATTTTCTATTTGTAGCTAAATTAAAAAAACAAAAAACAAAAAAAATGGGGCATATACTGGAATAAAAACTTTCAAGTACTCCAATTTTCATATCTATTAACTATGGCGTTTTTTTCATGGTTAGACTGCTTTTAAAATGAAAAAATAAGGGGCCAAATGCACTGCTTGGTTTTGGGATTGTTCTTTGAAGCGTGTCCTTTTTGCTTTAATAAGCTGTGTTAAAACTGCAACATCAAGGGTAGAAAGATTTCTTTTCGTTTTTAAAAACAAAAGGGGCGATTGCATTAATTTACAAATCATACTGGCCTTACGAACATCCTCTGCAATAAATATTCTTTTTTTTTTAGCCTTAACTATAAATTATATATTTTAGTGTTTAAAAACCTTCAGTTGTAAAACATCTAGCGACAATCCTTAAACTATGTGTCTCCTATATGTGAACCTTTAAGGCCCCTAATTTATAAAGATGAGTTGGCACCAAAGGATTCTAAACTTCAGCTTTTCTATAGAAAAGGATAGGAAGATATCCTGGCAATTCGTGAATGCAATTTCTCCCACTGGAACACAACCTTCGGAAAAGAAAATCACCTCTCCTCTAACACCATAGTTAAATGCACTTGCTTTGCAATTCCAAGTTTGCAACAAGCACTTTATATATTTCCAAACCATTCCATTAAAAAAAAAAAAAACAACAACAAAAAACCAAAAAACAAAACAAAATTCCCACACAATAAAAGAATGTAATTCCTATATCTAATGGACTGAAAGTGCTTTGAATGGAATGGTTTTAGAATATTACAGACAAACAAAACAAAACAAAAAATAAAATAAAATAAAAAGAAAGACTGAACTGTGGATTGAACCTGACCATAATTAGGCTGAATATCTGTGGGGTCAGACCAGCATTTTTTACACAGGTAACTACAAAAATAGGAAGATTACAAAAATATAATATATTATGTCACTATTTCGGTTTCTCTTTATAATAGGGTACTGTGTGAGTAGTACATTGGCCTTTCCCAACAATGCTCAGCTGGAACCCTACAAATGCCTTATGCACAGGTAATCCACAGGCACAAAAAAAAAAAAAAAAAGATTAACATATAATAATGCTGCATACTAACATACACTAACTTATGGGTTACGTTAACCATTTATAAGGTGAAGAGGATAAAAAAAAACCCTAAGGAAATAAAATAAACATTTACAGATGAATTATAAAGTGACTAAATGCATAAGCAAGCAAGATACAGAAAAGCCTAGAACTGCGTTAAAGCTATGCTTTTTAAAGAAAAAGAATATTTCATTTACTATCTAAAAAAAAAAATAACAAAAAAAAAACCCTCTTCTACTTTAAAAATGGTTGGTTGGTTGGTTTTATATGTAAGAAATCAAATCTAATACCTCCCCTGGAGACATTTTGTGTGTTAATGCCTATTTTTACAACATACAGACAAGAACACTTTAATATAAAAACTAGTTGATTATTATTGTATAAAATCCTCTATTTTTGTAGCACAAACCCCTGGGGGTAATGCAAATACTATTTTTTTCTTTTTTTTTAAGACAGTTTTTGGGGTACTTTTTGTTTTATTTGTTTGTTTGAAGTCACAGATGGAAGGGAGACAGAGCAAGAAAAAAATATAACGAGACCGGTTTTCCCTTCTGGTATAAAAATGTCCTGGAGAAAAGGGTTTCTGGGGGGGAGATCCTGATGCTGATTCCTTCTCAGATGCCCTTTCTTTGTCTGCTTTTCTTGCCAAGCAAATCCATTAGAAGAAGAAGAAGAAGAAGAAGAAGGAGTCCTCTTAAATGTTCACATCTCGCACATCAGTGGGCGTGCAGGAAAGGTCTGCTTCGTCCTCTACAGTCTTTGTTTCTGAAGATACGTTGTGCTGCTGTGCCTGACGTAGACTGGATTCCAGGAGGGATTCAATCTGTTCTTGGCAGGCCCGTAAACAATCCTAGAGGAGGTTGAATGGATGGAGAGAAAGACCCAAGAGTCCTTTAGAAACACGGTAAGGCCACAGACTAAAACAGCATTTCTTTAGAAAAAGCAGGGGGAATATAATCAGGTTATCTGGGAGAGCTGCAGGCCGAGAGGAGGGCGGGGAGAGCAAGAGAAACCCCAAACAGCGACATGATTGGGACGAGCCACCCAATTTCCTGCAGGATGCCAGCCTGGATTGAGACTTTAGCAACTAACTCTTGCCATCTGCTGCGGATGGAATGGCCTAGGGGAGTATCCCCACGGACACACCATCACTGCCCACAGACCTACAGCTGAACGTGGTGGATGCCCCACTACACTGAGATGTGTTTTAACTAAGCTGGGCAGGACCACAGGAAGATGTACATTTTCTGCCTGTGCTGTTCTCTGAAAGCCCATTGGTCCTAAAATCGTGCTTTCTACCTTTACCCCAGGAATGCTTTGGCAGTGCAGTCTGCTGGAAATGATGGCCATAAGCAGTGAATATTTTCTCAGGCTAAATTCCACTAATATGAACTTCTTACATAGAAATGCCATATATATATTTGGATGTACATGCCCAAAGGTTCCTGCCAACTGCTGCTGTGTCCAACAGTGGGCAGCTCAACTTGGCTAAGCCTTTCCTAACTCTGAAAGCATCTGTACATCCAGAATGATGTACTGGACTGCATGACCCCAAAAGGGAGAGATCTTTCAGGAGCACCACTAAACTCCTCCATAATCTTTCATTACCAGCTGCAGCCAAGCTTTCTGTTTGCTACCACATTCACCTTGACATCTCAGACAGGGTGGGATCTTTTTTCCCCTCACTTCCAAAGCATTTTCTCAGAGCTGGATGTGCACAACAATCCTCCTGAGGGAGGGTGCAAGGGCCTCGCTGCTTTCACAGACTTCGCTTGTGAATCAAAAGCACAAAGCGCCAAGGAGGATCATGTCTGTGGTGGGGAAAGGTAACTTCCCCCAGGCATTAAACCATTCCATGAGTAGTCATATCTAAATCACAGCAATTAGAACTGGAGAAGGCCTGCTGGTCCAACTTTCTGCGAGCTGTGGAGCCACTGGAACAACACGGGAACGGTGCCTTGCGCAGGCAAAACAATCCCACAATATTTTGCCACAACTCCTCCAGCCAGCTGTTTACTCGTATCTTTATAACAAACATTGCAGGCTTTTTCCCCCCAACATATTTAACTCTGTGTATTAAGGACTTTGAAGTTTCCTTTCAGCATTGCCTTCTCTGATTTAACCTATGACATGTGTTAGCCCTTGCGGTGAACCCAGTCTTCCATGATAAATTGCCGTCAAAAGTGTTAGGATGTGCATGACTGAGAATGAATGTTGTTTTCCTGAGAGGGTGACCTGCCTGCTGTTTTCTTTATTTCCCAGTTTCAATTCTGCCTTCATTCAGAGGCTTCTTGTGTGATCTGCCAGCTTTTCACTGATTCCACTACCACAAGAATCTCCTCTGCCACCAATGAGGGCACATGGCATTTGGGGTAAAATAAGATTAGAAACCCAAGCAAACAATTCTCTGCAAGTCCTTTCTGAGAGAGAGGGAGGTTAATCCTACCTCTAAGCAGATCAGACCATCAGTTACAGCTCACTGAAAACACATAACCTATGACCTTTCCTGGTTTAAACCCTAGTGTAATATTTCCTCTTGACAGAGACACACAGCGTTTTAAATGACAAAAAGAAACGCCTCATATCCTAAAGTCATCATGCCTTTGGCTCCTGCATACCTCAGGCCTGCACAATAAGGTCTCTATGAAGTCCTTTCCCCCCTCCCCCCTCAAGATATGATGGATCAATCCTGAACTGTAAAACCTTCTCCTCGTCCTGTACCACATCCCTCGGTCACACTTGGAATTCGATGTGTTCAAGAGGAGCACCTGGTTTTACAAACCCAGGCGCTTCTGAGGATAATTCTTGTTTTAACAAGGTGGCATGTTCAGCCTTCCATGCTCAAAGGAAATTTATGTTCAGAGCAAAATGAACCCTTCTGGGTTTGGGGTGGGTTTTTTTTTGGTTGGTTTTTGTTTGTTTGTTTGTTTTTTGTTTTCTGTTTTTGTGGTGGGGGAGTGGATTGTCTGGTAAGTTTTGATGGGAATTTTGTGGGAGGTTTTTTTGGGGGCTTTTTTTGGTTTTTTTTTTAATCCTAACCATTTGCATACAGCATGTTTGAGCTCTGAAAACTAAAACCATTCAAAAGAATTTCTATAAATACCTATTGTTCTCCCTCTGGAGTCCAGTTATGAATAATTGCATAGGACTATGTAATTTAAAGGTACTTTCTGACCACAGAATTTTTTTCCTTTGAAATTCTCAAGCGTGCAGCATGTTGTAACTGTATTTTTTTTAAAACTTAATCTTTACAATTTATTACAAACAGACTGTTTGAAGCTACACTTGAATGAGAACTAATTTTTTAATGTTTTAAGGATTTTGTTCATTGCTTATTCACATGACTATTAGATAAATAGTTTGCCTGCAGGAATGCATTTAGAGCTAGCAAAAATACCTGCAAAATATAAAATTCTCTACGAACGACCTCAGCAAAGCTGTTTCCATTCTCAGTGCTTCTGAGCACTGAAAAGCAAATACAGAACTTGTGCATTACTCTGATAACTTCTCCCAACAACTTTTCTGCTTCACTACCCAAATTTTCAATGCCCACAGTTTGTTCAAGGTCATAAACCCTTCCTGGATTAATTAAGCTCCTCAGTGGAGGGAAAAAAAAAAAAAAAAAAAGAGACTTTCTAGCTTAACTGATGTGGTGAAATACCTTCAAGACACAGTAGACATGATCAGACTCCAGGGTCAGATAGCAAAGGAAACAAACAACAACAACAAAAAGAAACTGCTTGGAAATCCTTTGTTACTGCCTGACCCGTCCTGGATAACAAGCACATGTTTGAAGGTGCCTCTGAGAAGGGGCAGGCAGGAGGCGAATTCCAGTGTACTAACAGACAGCGTGGAGACCCAATCTAATCTAGTTTAGCAAATTTCTGGCCTGGAAATGAATGTCAGGTAAAATTCCATCTGTTTGGATGATGGGGTCAAGAATAGAATGATGGAAGACAGCCCAAGGCTTCTAATTGTGATTATCTGACTTCTAATTACCCCTGATCAAAGGCGAAATGGGAAATTGGACTCCTACCAACGTAAACATGAACCATAAAGGAATTCCAATCAGGTGATATTCATTTTACTTTAGGTTCAGCTTTCTCTGAGATGAGAGGTAAAAAAGTGTAATTATGTAACCTGAAATCCAACAGACCAGCTAACAGACAATCAGCATCTTAATATTTCAAGGCAATCCAATACAAAGCATATCTGCTTGTGAAGCCTGACAAGGGGAAGCATCACTGGGGAAGAGCACAGTTCACACACGTGCTACTGAAACAGGCTAATAGGAAGGGCATTTGATAGCATGGATTGCATAGGTACATCTTATGGGAAAGACTCTCTGCAGGGGAACTGTGTTGGGTGTGAAACCACCAGACTTCTCTGCTCAGAGCAACTGTAGTGATGAGAGCTGCTGTTCCCTTATTCCACTACAACAGTGTATGTACACACACGTATAATTTTATGATGCTAATTTTCTGTAGCATCCCATATAAAAATCCTTATCCCTACTTCCAACTGCTCCAACACGTGCCTTATATTTAGCACTGAGAGCTGGAGGGGAGTTGCTTCCTTTTAAAGCTGACAATTAAGCTCAGGTCAGACTGTGGCCTTGCACTGACTATGGACAATAAAAAAATTAAATAAGCAAAAATTCGCTTTCTTGCTAAAAGAACGCTTGTTTTCTTTTTAAAGAGCTCTGTCACCAGCTAAGTCAAGTTCACATAAGGACGTGCTGTTGTTCTCCAAGATGTGAGAGAATCTACTTCAATGCTCCCTATCAGGAATGATTAAATAATGTTGTTTGAATCAAAATACTGCCTCAACAGATAGCAATCCTAGTGTTTCCCCTCAGTACCTGCTTCAAACATCTCACACTGGACAGTGGCCAACCCATACACTGAAATATCTGCATTGTTCACTAAAAGCATTACATGTACATATCAAACTGAGCAGTGTATTATTTCAGCATTTCAGCTTCTCATAATATTTCACATTTCAGCACTGTATTATTACTTTAGCCACAGTAATATAAATGGCAAAATAACACTCAGTGCTGAGGCACTGTTAAGGTGATCAACATAATAAGCTGAGAAATTGTATTTTTCAGCAATTGTTTCACATGGTCTATCAAAGGTGAAGTAATTCTTTTGTGAATATTCAGTTATGATGCATTCATCTTTCCAGAAATCCCTCAATCCAGTCAACAAAGTCCCGTGAGACAAACCTAGTTTTGCAGTGGCTGGACTAGTACAGTTCTCTGTGCATTTAAAATTATTAACATGCAAAATAATTTAACAGCATCTCAAAGATTCTGCCGCTAACCACAGAGTTGTCTTTATTTGACTCATTGTCCAGCGCTTGGAGACCTCACAAGAACCTTTTTAAAGCATCTATTTATTGGTCTTCCACATTGTTACAAAACAAAGCTCAACTCTGCCCCAACTTCACACACCATTATGACATGGATCATTGACTTTAGGTCTTCCTTGTAGGCTCCCTTCCTGGCCCATTCACTCATGAAAGGTTTATTGCTCACTAGTTACTGATGTGCATCTCCTGGAAGCTGCAGGGCAAAATGAGAGTCCTGTGAGGACCATCTACCTTGTCAGAAAGTCGTGGGACAAGCATTTGTTCCAAAAAGGAATTCAATACCAGCTACTGTGCAGGTCTAGCACGTAATAAACCAAATTAGATCATTAGAACTCTTTTAAGAAGGGCTTTTTCACACCACTTGGCACAATAAAAGGCCTCGAGAATGGTCAAAGATAAGGTCAGAGATACCACGAGGTCTCAGTAACTATTTCCTCGTCTTATTCTCGAAGTTTTGTTTTACACAGACTCCTGGTTTAATTACCCACAGCCAAACAGCCCCTGCAAGGTCCTGAGTGGATGCCGGGCTTTGTCAGATAACGCCTCCCTCACACACATTAGAGCTGGATGTGGCACTGCAGCAGCGTAATCACAGATTATTAACGGATGTAATGACCGCCAAATAACCAGAATGGACAACACAAGAGAAACACATTCAAAAACCCCACTCGGTGCTTTGACTTTTACCAGGATTTACTGTCAGATTAGCTACTATGCAACGAGCAGGAGTTCATTCTTAAAAAAACAGGAGATCAACCAAGAGAAAGAGTCACTTACCGGATCACATTTGATAACTTGTGATAGGAAATGTGTGAGGCATTGATAGGAGAGGAAAGTGTTAGTGTTCCCCAGATGCAGGCCTTGCACAGCTGCTACCACACTGCCAGCTGCGATCATGGAAGGTGGGTTTGAAATAAATTTAATATCTGTATGAAGAAAGGAGAGAAAAAAAAAAAAGAAAAAAAAAAAAAAAAAGACTGAAATGATTGCTTTAGGAGAAGCCTGTCCATACACATACATTCTTCTAAGCAGCATGGCTTCAGCTGCCAACTATTGCATCCCAAAAGGCAAGGGAAAACTGTGAGCAGAAAGGTGCCTCCTGCTCCAAACTGTTACAGGTCCGAACCTGTAAACACTTTTATCCCCACGAGCAACCGTAGTGCAGTGAGTAGCCCTTCCTAGCACTGGGCCTGGGAGGCCATTCATCACTTGGAGGTGTTTTTTATCGTAAGCAGGGCCCTCATTCTTCAAATGTTAAAATGCTTTGCTCATGTGGATAACGCCACTGGGGGTCAATGGCACTATCCATCTGAGAAAACCTGTTCCCGTTGGGAAGTGCTTCGCAGGATCAGACCCTAGGTGCACTCTCATAACAAGTCCTCAGGCCCTTTAAAGCAGAAACCTTTGCACTGACATCCAAAGGAATATTGCTTTAATGAACAACAACATCCACAAAAAGAAAGAAAAGAGAAAGGCTGCTTAACCCTGTCAGGAGGCAGATAATCCATATTTAAATTACGGTTTCATCTTAAAAACGCTTTGTCTCAACCTAGTCTCTTGTCAGTGGCTGCCATCCATCCTGGCAACAGGGATTTAATGTAAATGTGGCATAACTAAGTGACGGGGGTCCCAAGAATTGGCGGACAATCAGTTACATTCTGATGTGACACCATGCTGACAAGAGGCTGGGCCCCCTTCCAGACTGCATTGCTGTAGGTCTCTCCACAAAGCCACTCCCATGATTCCTTAAGGGGCTATCTCTGCCATTTAGCATCTCTTTCGTTTTGTTGTTTTGTTTTGAGGGTGTTGTTTTGTTTTGTTTTTTTTTAATAATAATAACCCCCATTTTAATTGCTAAGACTCTGCTGAGCAGGAATGTGTTTGATCTGTGGCAGTGCACACCTTGGGAGGAGAATCAGGAACAAAGGAGGTGAGTGGCACAAGCAAACATCCAATTTTGTGAGGGAGTAAGGGAAATGCCACATTGTACACCAGAACCTGAGATACATTCCTTCAGCATTTTATCAGAATACAACTTCCTCTGGGTTGAAAAAATATAAACCATCTGTCAAACCCTTGAATGAAATCAAAGGCATGGACAGCTTAGAGGGCTCAGTGGAACAGTTTAAGTATTAAATCATGCATCTCCTTTATTATGATAAAATAACTTTTGTGTAAATGTTTTACCAGTGAAACTAAAGACTTCAGGACTCCATGAAAGTCCTGGCTCTGAGTCTATTCACACACCTCTGACACTCCATTGTGGCCCTGACCAATACCCACCTTCAAAGCCGCATTTCACCCAGAGAGCTCTACCAAATCTCCAAAATTACAACTGATAGGATAAATTCTGGCCAGACTTTTGTGATGCATTGCCAGGGAAAAAAGGCGAGCTCGACCTAAAGCCATCTCATTCATGTTACTGTGCTTAAGATAAATTTAGTTTATCCCCTTTTCCTAATCTGCCCCTTTCCAGGCAGGTATAAACACACCCACCTTCTAGCAAGCTGCTGTCATTCCCAAAAACCAAAGTAGTCCAGGCTGCTTATTGACACTTATTGACACATTCCAAAGGCCATCCCTAACTGGAATACTGACACACAGCTGCAGGTAGGCTTCAGAAACGGGGCATTTCAGTAGGCAAGCATGAATCCCACCAAGATGGGGTTGCAGCACGTTCACGACACTATTTACCGAGCTCCACAAACAGAACATGACCAAAAAGTGTCAGTTTAATGAGTTCTGTCCTGACAGGACCACGTTTGGGATTAATATTTGCGTTCTTCTTTTAAATGGAGCAGTAAACAAGAACATGAATTCATAGTCACACCCTCATTCTTTCCAAGGTGGAAAAGTGATAATGAAGTTTAAATGACCAGTTTGTGTCTGTCCCTATAACCACTCCAGACAAGCAGCATGGACTGCCTTTTTGTTGCAACTCAACAAGGAATTATTTGTGGCAGAGGCCACTAATTTCAGCATATTAATCAGGGGGCCCCTCTCGCCTGTAATTGGATGCCCCCAAGTGAAGAGTGTGGCATCATTGTCAGCCTCCATCGCCTCATCTTGCGCTATTGAGCGCTCAGGAACAAGGGGGCTTCGGTGAGATGAATTAGACCTGACACAGCCACAATGGGGTAGGGGGCCCCATCAATTGAAGCACACATCCCCAGTAGCCTATCTGAGACTTCATCCAAAAAGAATAAACAACTTCAGCGTTGTTAAAAAGAGAGAGAGAGAGAGAGAGAGAGGAGGGGGAGGAGAGAGAAGAATGCCAGCCACCCTGAAGGGAGGACAAAGCAGGCATATAGGCGCTGCAGCGCTTTAAAAAAAAAATTCCTAACAAGGCGAGTCACCCCTTTTCCTTTTTAAATGGAGCAGCAATTCCATCCGTCTGGAGAGCTGGGGGCTATGAATGAAAATCTTTTCATTGAGGCAAATCAAAACTGCGAACATAAATCACTTGCTGCAAGATGCAACAGGTTCCAACTGGTCACATACCTTGAGACTTCCAATTTTATAAAAGGCTGGAGAATGGGGGAATTGTAACGCGCTTGTTTCAAAGGGGGGACCTTTCTTTCTCCCTCAGAGAGGAGCAAAGCAACAACAATAATAATGGCCATAATAATAATAATAATAATAATAATAATAAAGAGGAGCCTGGTATGTTTTGATAACCAGAGGAACATAATGAAATGCTGAAGCTCCAATATTTGTTGCTATTCATTGTTATGCTTGTATAGAGCTGCAGTTCTCCCTCAACATTGGTCTTAACTTGGGCCAAAAGAGGCCTGCTTCCTTTTGAGCTCTCCCTGCCTTGCTCGGCCATGCCAAAGCCCCATTCATTAAGCTCAATTATGTGTTAACTTCAAACAACCCCTGGTAATTTTTTTCTTTTTTTCTTTTTTGGTTTTTTTTTTTTGCTTTTTCTCCCAAACCTACCACAGCACAAAGACATCCTTTGGGTGAAAATGGATTTTTTCAAAACCAAACCAAATCAAACAAATCCACTTCTACTAGCCAGACAACTGAAGAGGGAGCTTAAAAGGAATTCCCCTCAAGTTCACCTTGCAGCGTAACCTTCTCTTTCTGGAGCAAACACATACAACACTCATCTGCAAACACTTCCACAGCCTTCACCTTGTTAAGCCAACCGGCCAAGGCTTTATTTTCTAAGTAAGCATTGTTCTGCAGTCTCTTCTTAGGAGAACCTCCTTTACAGAAGAGGACACAGGCAAAGGATAGACTTGCACTTGCCCCTGAGGCCACTTAAGCGAGTGTCAGTGTTTCCAGTGGACTTTGGATTGGGCCCCACAGCATCCAGGCAGCACAACGCATTTGCAGTCCATCTCGGTTCATTTTGGCAGGGGGAAATACAACACAACCCAGCAACAGCAAAGCAAAGTCCAGATGCTGCTTAAGCCACATGTGATCTTCGCTAGCCAACAAAGAAGGTGTGAGGAAAGCGAAAAGGTAAGAGGAATTCCTGACATCCAAAAATAACAATAAAAAACACAGAGCCTAGTGGCAGCCTTCCCCAGGCAATGCTCCCAACTTCAGGAGGGAGCTGAAGAGGGCCCCAGCTCTGGTGAGCTCAGCGCTGGGTTTTTGTGTAAAAATCTAAGTAAAACTCCCAGTACATGGTTCTCATTTACTGATCCATTCTCCATCTGTGGTGTGCAGCAGTGTTAAATAAGGGCTCTGGATGTTGCTTCCTAAAAGAAACATAACAACACCGACAGTAGATCAAAGTACTGGACTCTTAGCGAGTCTCCAACCTTTGAACTACCCTTGTTTTCATCCCTGTCATTGCCAACACAACAACCCAGGTTAAACATCCCCATATCCAAAGGGGAGGCCGGGTAGCTGCTCTTTTTTAGCTAAAGGCCGAGGAAGCTTCACACTTAGCAAATTACACGTTCAGAGTCGCAGCGGCCTTATCTGGTAGGACCTGGCAGAGTTACATTTGAGGGTTACATGGAGAGTTACAATCGATTTTCCCAAAATGCTGTTGCCGGTGGTTTGTAGGCTGTTGGGAGGCTGTGGTGCTCCTAACACCACCCAGCATTATTCCAGGCAATCTAACCTGTTATGCTGATGTTAGGCCCAAGATGAAGAGCAACGCCAGTGTTTATAAATTTCTCTTTTATGGCTTGGTTGTTTCTATCTTTAGGCCTCGCAGTAAGGGCCGACTCTGTGAAATAAATTTTGCCTTTTTTTTTTTTTTTTTTTAATTCTCCCCCCCCGCTTCTGAGTGCCTGCAATCCTTCTTCCATCTTTTCATACAAAGAAGCTACACAACGTCAATTTGTGGCACTGGCCCACGTGCGTGCGCGTCCCACCGAGGTTTTTTCCCCCAAGTGCGGATACCACTACTCGGCATCTCTGGAGGCCGGCCCTGCTCATGGCTCCAGCACAGCACGTGGTCAGGAGGGTGCAGATGGCAGCGGCTCGGTCCCGTGCCAGGAAAGCCTCTGCGCCGCGTGGCCCTCCTCCAATCCACCAGCCACCGAGGAGGAGGAGGGAGGTGGTGGTGGGGGGGTTGGGGGGATTGTGGGGGAGAAAGAGGCAACTTGAAGAGGGGAAGTTTTAAAACCCCCCACGCAGAGCTATTCACAGGCAAAAATCTCCCTGCTTGCCTTTAAAAACTGTCTCGAGAAGGAATCCACACACATGGGGAGGGATTCCCCGTAAGCCTTTTTACAGCCCCCCACATCAGCCCGGTGCGTGCGGATCCTGCCACGCTGAGCTGCGACTCCACAGAGAAGGGGGTAGGGGCTGGGGAGGGGGGTGTCCTTCTCCCTTCCCTGACAACAAGCACAAACTCCAAACTCAGGAGGCGAAATATCTTCTGGAACAACAACAACAACAAAAGAAACTTACCTCTGGCAAAGTAAATCCACCTTCTGCAAACAAGGGGCAATAATCGGGGCTTAAACTACCTCCCCGCAGCTCTGCGAGCGCGCCTGAGACCACGGCTACGGGAAGCTTTACAAGGCGGGGGGTGGGCGCGGGTCGGGGAGCAAAACACGCTTTGCGGGACGTGCAGGGCTCATACCTGTAGCGCACAGAGCCACAAAAGTCTGAGCATGTTTACGGATGATCTGCTTGGTGTCCTCTGCCAGAGGCATTTTAGTGAGGAAATGTTCAATGAAATCGTGGGGGGTCATTGCGGCCAGATTCCATTTCAGCTTATTCACCAGCAGCAGCTCCATTTGCTGCAAAGAGAAAGAGGGAGGGGAAAAGGGGAGGGGGGATGGGGGGAAGGAGAGAAGAGGAAGGGGAAGAAGAGGGGGGAGAGCGTGGTTAGAGGGCCGCTCGCACACGGGAGCACCGCCGGCACCACGGCCGGGGCCGGTCGGCTCCCGGCCGGGCTGGGAGGGCAGTTTTCCCCGGGAGAAGGAGGAAAGCGGGATGCGGGTGGGTTTTTTTTGGGGGGTGGTCCCCCAGTCTGGGGGCCGGGGGCTCCGGGCCGTCGCGCCCCCGAGCGGGGCCACCAGGGGGAGCCCGCGGGCCGCCCACGGGGCCGGGGGAGCGCGGGGGCGTCCCGGTCCCCATCCCGGCCCCATCCCCGTCCCGCTCCCTGTCCCGGCACTATCCCCCTCCCGAGCCTCCGCAGCGGCCACACCGCCTGCAGCGGGGCTTCCGAATACACCGCGTTGGCCTGTGGTTGTTTTTTTTCTTTTTTTTTTTTTTTTTTTTTTTTTGGTTGTTCTTTTTCAATGTTTGTTTCGATTTTGTTTGTTTGTTGGTTTGGGGTTTTTTTTTGTTTGGTTTTGTTTGGTTTTTTTTTTTTATTCTTGAAATGACTAAACGTGAAATTACCAGTAATTCGTCGGGTCTAATGGAGTTATCTGT